ATGGGTCTTAGGCCTGCACCAACCACCACTGAAGACACAAGGGATCTCAAAGTCAACACTTTGAGGTGCTGGTGATGTAAGGCAAGTATTGCCAAAGTCCTCATGGCTATCTTCAAAAAATTGGTTATCAACATGAGTGACTGCCCACCGCGGCCGCCTCCTCTCTGCTCCTCTGGCTCTGCACTCGGCGCGTCCCCTGGGAGGCTGCAGTGCTGCAGGTCTTATCTTTTCTCTTGCGGATGCTGATTAACAAACCAATAATAGACTATGTGCTTGCTGTAAACTAACATTCGAAACATATATAGTATGTATATATATATATTTGCAGTATTAGTTCAACTGGTTCACTGCCGGTGGCGAAAGGCTGAGTCCAAACTAACCTCCTGGGTCAAGATAGAAACAAAACATAAAACTATAGAACTATGGCTTCCGCTCAAGAACTCTCACCATGTGCTCCCACAAATTCATCACCCCAGCATTCTGGAATCTCCACAAACTCCGGCTCTTTTCCTTCAGCAACACAATCATAAAACAAAAACCCCCCCAAAACCAATATATCCAATATGAGGCTTCTCGGACAATGACAGCACTTATGCTACTTTGGCACATGATGCCAAACCTGAGCAGCAAACCAAAACAGTGTGGCCCCCGAACCAGATGAAGAATAAGACTTACAAAGGATAAAGGAGTGAGATCGTTGATACATGTTGATACCCAATAAATGGGTGATTGTTGTTTGATTTATGAGTGGCGGTAAAGTTGGAGAACAAATCCACCCGGGCCAAATGACTGCTTTGAACCACTCAGTGGATCGCCTGGGGATCCACTGGCATTGGGAACGCTGCCCTGGTCAATGCTGAAGCGCAAGGACACCTCGATGCGGGCTGGTTGAATGTTGCGACCTGATCCCATTAGATACTCATGGTTGCTCCACCCATTGAAGAATCCCTTTTTGAGTAATTATATCAATTAGAGTTGTGCCATCGTAAGGCCGTGGAAACCACATACCCCCAAATGCGACCGCTATAGATCTGAGATCTTCTGAGTTGTCAAACGGCAACCAGCCATCTCCAATAGTGGATGTGAATTGTCCCGTGAATGTGGGATTTGCAGATATTTGCTTCTGTGCCAGCCCCTTCCAGCGGTGTCCATTTGCATGCCTGGGATTCCCAATTAGACAACCCCCAAAATCTGCTTCTTACGCATTTCATCACCTCTGACCAATATTGACCATCACCTCTGATCAACAGGTGCGCCACCACGCCAGGGGAGCCCAAGCCCACAGGATGTGCCTGTGTGATTGTAACATATGTAAGATAAAGTGTTCTGCTCTGGCAGCGCTACTAGGAGCCAGGACGCCAATGAAGTTCAATTGAATACCCCATCATGAGCTGTGGGCAAAGCACTTATCTTGCAAAGGCAGCAAATGCTATCTGCTATGGCATTACACTGGTGTGCTATGGCATTTCCCCGGGTTTGGTGAACCACATCAGTGGTTCCCCTCGGTCTTATTGCCTTGAAGCCAACACCAACTATTGTTCTTCATTTCAAAACACTGGACGCCCAGATACGGGGCGTGGCTTGTTCTTGATCCACTTCCTCAGGCGTCGGCGACGTCGGCCAAAAACTTCCGCATGTCGAATCTTTCACGATGCGAATCCAGGGATGATTTAAAAAAACAACAAATCAACTCCATTCAACTCCTGATTGACCTTCTTGTCTGTTCTTCTGTGAACGATCTGGGTCCAAAAAGACCTCTCTCTCTCTCTCTCTTCTGTCCGTCCTTCTGTCCGTCCTTAGACGTTCCTCGTGTCCCGATTGTAGCAAGGGCTCCGGATCAGGCGCTTCACCCGAAGGTCTGCCTCCGCAGGAGAATCCTGCACGTCGAGAGGAGACGGTGGAAAAGAAAACACAGAAGCAATGAAGGAGAGAAACAACGAAAAATGCCAGCAAGTGATTCAGTATAGCATAGTATAGCATGTTTTTGGTCTTGGGCAAGTGATGGCAAGATATGGCAAGTGCAAAAAAATTGTGAATGGAAAAGGTGTTTAGAGTTTTTGGCCAGCATCCCAAGTTTCTGTCAAACAATGCGATGTCAACCAATCGTTGCTGCTTGGACCCAAGTGCCATGACGGTCCTATAGGACGTACAAGAGTGGCGGCAAAATGCACTAACACTTGCTCCCAAAACTGACATGTACATTCACTATCTCTGAACAGTGCAACCAAGGTCCAAAATACCAACATATATACCAACTACCTTTACAATTGCCGAAGAAACCTAGGGTTCTCCAAAATAATTGGGGTTTTCACTGGAAACCGCGGTTTTGCATCGTTTTTTTGGATTTGAGTACGTGCATACTGATGTGGCAATGTCTTGTTTGAGTATCGAGACTACGGGTGTCAGTTCAGAAGATTTGCATTTTTTTGCACCCAAAAGTCGTTCGGCATCTGACCTCAAACCCGTGATTTGTTTAACGGGTTTGAAAAGCAAGGGTAAATCACGGGTTCAGCACGGGGAAATCACAGGTTCTACCTCACACTTGAACCTTTCCCGATAAAATTCAATAAAGTGTCAAGAAACCATATCGATGGAACGAAATGGAACGAAAAAAACAATTGGATAATCACACGGATTGTTCAGCATGCAAAGGAATTCAATCAACTTTACCTGAGCAGGCAGATTGAGAGAATACCCAGGGTTTTCCCGGGAAACCCGAGACTTTTACAATTTTACAAGACCCGTTTTTTTTTTCCGCATACCCGAGGAAAAGTTGGGGTCCAAGCTGGCAGGGTATATATAAAATAGTATAAAATATGTGTGAGATATAGACTGCTTGAATGGAATAGATAGGAAAAGCATCAAACATCAAGCTTGGAGCTTGGCCCTAGAAAACCATCTTGGCCTGGTCCCAAGATATTTCATCCCCCAATTCCGGCTCTTCACGTGCTCCGTGGTCCTTTCGCGCGCCTCGCTCCGTGGACGGAGCGAACCGCGCGCGCACCGCGCCTCGGGTGGGGGTGCAGGGATCACATCGTCGTCGACCGCCAGTAAGCGGTCCCCGATGCGCAGCCCCAAGCGGTCCGCTTGGCCCTGGACACAGAGCGAACCGGTGGTGAATGGCCACGGGGCCAGCGGGGCCGGCTTGGACAGTGTTTTGGGAGTGACTTGAACAGCTTGGGAAAGGTTTGTTGGACAAAGATCGAAATGGTTTGATTGGCCTGAGGTAAAGATAGGTTTTAAACAAATTGTAAAAATAGTTGGTCGAAGATCAACCTGATGGATTTGGGTTTGCTATGGTTGGCTTGTATCCAGTAGCTCTTCGACTTCGACACGTCAGATTCGCAGGATGGTTCTGATGCGATGGCGTGGGAGAAACACTCTATATGTTAATTATATATATATAACATATGTTTTGTATGTGTTTTTTGCAGGCCCAGCCCTTAGCAATTCTCTGGGCTTACACTAGCCCTTGGCAAAGCGCATCGGGTTGACTCTGAATGAGAACTGAGAAGAAAGCCATCTGTGCACACTTCTAGCGGGAAATTAGTCTTGAATGGCAACCAAAACCATGCAAAACCTGACGTGACTCAAACGATGCAGTCTGTGGCTTATACAACGCCCCGCAGGCACCTTCGTCAGAAACCGTACCCGGTCACAAGTAATTCAACTTTAAACACGTACAGCACAGTGAAAACACAAAGAAAAAGCTGATGCCGCTCAAGCAATGAAACTCTGTCTAGTTTGGAAGAACTACGGTCTACGACACGACGTCATGTCATAGATTACGCGGTGACACAGTGGATCTAGTAGCGCAGAAGCACGGTGACCAGTGCTTCCTGCTTCCGCCGCTTCCGCATTCAACGAGCGAATGAACCACGGCGACGGCGCTTTCACAGCCCACGGTGACCGCGCGGTGGGCGGTGGAAGTAGCTGGGCGAGAAGATGCTGGTTTTTGATCGCTCAGTGACACAGGGACGTCCAACCTCACTTAACCCAGAGCCGAACTGGAATGACCCAGTTAGGACTCCAAGGGCCAAACTCACCGGACAATTTGCGGAGAAGCATTGAGAGCCCAGTGGAGCGTGCCTTCCAAAAAGATTTTAAGTTGTATCATGATGTATTGTCAAAATTGCATGAAATTGGTACCAAAATGATTTCGAAAGGGTTCAACAGATTTCAATGATTCAACAAATGTTTGGGCATCTCTTCTCTTTTCATAGATTCCTCGAGGTTCTCAATTGCTGGCCCTTTCAACGTGCTGGGGTGACTAGTCACCCGGGGTCGCCGACTGTCACCAGGCCGCAGCGGCGCACGCTACAAGACTGAAAAGTCACCCGGAGAGTCGAGTGAAACACCATGGCCACGCTATGTACCACATCCACCCGCCCAAACGAAGTAAACTGCATACTTCCTTGTCTACACTGGGACGAAACGGATCATGTTCGTGTTGATTTCTTAGGGCCTTAGGGGTGTTGAATCACCATGGCCCACGCTTACTCCAGGTAGTGTTGTTTAGGGCCTTAGGGGTGTTGAATCACCATGGCCCACGCTTACTCCAGGTAGTGTTGTGAAGTCGTTTGTCCTTCAATGTAAATATGAGTTTTAAGATGAGTCGCGTCTCGTACATCTGGAAATTTGGGGAAGATGTGAGGCTAAGATTCATGTTCAATATGTTACATGTTAAAGTGTTCACGAGGTTTCGGTTTCGTGCCGCGCAAGTCGCGGCAATCCAGATCCCATGGTCATCCTCAACAAACGTAATTATGCCTGTTCACAATACGACAAAGACAGCTTCATCATAATATATATATATATATATCCCTCAACTTCAAACGTCTCTAGTAAACTTGTGCTTTTACCCACGTCGAAGTTTAGTCAAGACATTTCGTCTCGCCTAAGTTTACCCTGTGCTCAGTTTGGCTGTTTCTTAACCCGTTTTAAATAAACCTTTCAAAATCAGTCCGGGACCTTAGTTTCAACAATACTATTTCAGAAACTCAGAGATGAGACATAAAATCTCAGATACGTACTCAGTCAGTTGCATTTCATCAGCCTCGACTTTGGTGTTTGTCTGGTGTGCCACCCCAAACCTCTTCAATACTCTACATGTAATGTCAAAAATGATGACACATGTCACCAAACACAAAAACATGAAACATGGTCCAATTTCACGGGTAAACTTGTGCATTCACGGGTAAACTTGTGCATTCACGCTACTTCACGCCGATTTCACGCTATTTCACGCTACCCCTTTTTTTTCATGTGTCCAAGTGCTCCATGATTTTCAATGAGATCTTCATAAAGCCTCACCCTTTCCGGTGTGGGTATGACAATATATTCTTTCAGTCAAGTGAAATCTCAGATATTAGATCATAAAAGTTGTCATTTTCGACATAAGACATGTATTGATCCCAACATGTCTGAAACGACATCCACAAAATTGTGGTTATTCCACCACAGATCTACTTTGATACATTCACGCTTGGTTAAAATTGTGCATAGCAGAACGTACAAGTTTACTTGGTTAAACTTGTGCATCGATAACGTCCAAGTTAAACTTAGCCGTTGAAGCCTAGGGATATATATCATGTTTCATCTACAGGTTGCAGGGACAACAAAGTTCCAAAAAGTATATCGCAGCACAGATCATGCAAAGCCAGGCGTCTTCCAGACGACTTACTACACGACCAAGACCAAACGACTTAACCCCGGTAGTGTCCGTTCCCCGAATAAGCCAGTGGCCATGTGGCGATGGGAGGCAATTGGAGCAACACATCTTCCCTGTATAGACGATAACAAATGCCCACACAAGGTGAGTGATCACACAGCTTGGTTACAGCTGTGTAAAAGCCAAACAGTGGTACCTCAATGAATTTCAATGCATTTCATCATGTCTCATCACGCTCCACCACCCTGGCGAACCTCGCAATTCGCAATTCGCAATTCGCAGTTCGACCCGTTCGACCAGTGAAGCGAACGACCGGTGGGTTCCGGACCCTCCGCGTTTCTGCTCGCCGATCCGCGGTCCAGCGAGCCGATCGGAGTCGCTTCGCCTCGGCTTCGATGGCCACCACTCGTGCACCTTCGAGTTCAAAGCCCAGAGGCCCCTCCTGCAGCGGAAGCGAACGAAGACATGAGCGGTGTCATGGGCGGTGGAGACGTGGAGACGGCCGGCATCGTAAAGAAACAACGGCCCCGATGTTCCACGATTTGGAGTGCCTGTGTTGGTCTGTGTTCCTTTTTGCATCATGTGGATTCAATCTGGGCCAAATGCTGCCACTAGTGCTGCCACTATAGAATAGCATCCTGACTCATTCCAAAAGAACCGTCGTCACTGAGACGGCAGTCTTGTCAACGAAGACAGCCTCTGCAAGATCTTGTCTACCCATCATTGTTCGTTGACTCCTTCAAACACACCCATTCGACCAATCTCAGCATTTCATATCATATCGAGAAAAGTGTGTGTTTTCGACGATTTTTGCCAGCTTTCACACGGATTGATAAGTTCTCTTGCAACATCTAGCTAAGGTCCTTGGACCTGCTGATGGATGACATCGGACCTATCATGCAATGATCACTCTCCGGGAAGTACAGCTCTGCAAGCAGACTCTCAATTAATGAATAAATGAGCCAAGATGAGCCAAGGAGATGCAGAAGCTCCCCAGGACGGTGCAGGATTTCGTCACCGTCGGTCGCAGTTCTTCCCCTCACCATCGGTCATTTTCTGTCCCATCGACCTGTCGTCGCATCGCCTCCCGTCGTCGCGTCGCCTCAAATCGAAGGTCCCGAGAAGCGTCGCCCGCGTCGCCCGCGTCGCCCGGCACTTGCAGGAGCCATTCCTGAGAACTGCCGACCGCGGAGGCCGCGCTGGTCGCTGGTTGAGGAAGCAAAGACCATGCCCAAAGAAAGGACGGCCCATTCAGGTAGCCATGATCGCTTCAAGTACCTACTGGGAGTGTAGAGGAATATGGTCTGCAGATGGTTTCCATGTTTATGTTGATGACGGGTGGGTGCTGGCTTAGGTGTAGCAACTCACCAGCAACACGATGTTGACTATACTAGTTGATCCTCTTTAGTGAGCGGGTGCCGGGCAACATCACCTTGTCTTCCGGATGATGGCTGCCTGGAAAACACGCTTTTAACACCTAAGTGACCTAAGGTGCAAAGGGCTGGACAAACATGGCATGTTATGAATCAAGAAATGAATACCCACAGGAAGCATTTTGGTCTTGGGACATGTCCCGAAGCTTTGTCTCCGTACCTCCAAATAACAAATGAAATAGTGTCATGGTCATTTATGGTTTATGAGAGATGCACAGTAGTGCCGGGGGGTTGCCATAGATTCCTTACCAGCAACTTCTCCCCTAATCCCTGATCAAGCGGCTGCACCTTGAGCCCAACCGCTGGCCTAAGTAAGCAAGGCGCCAGTCAGGCCGAGCTTTACTCAGAATCGTGCGACACAATCCATAATTAAGAGGTGAGGTGCTCAGTGCGAAGGCGGGAATGAAATGCTATTTGAATATGTATAGTAAGTCTTAGTAAGTTCATGTAAGTTGTACGAGTATTGAGTTGTTTAGTTGTTTATCATCTGCAGCAAGATAATTCTGAGAATGCGTTCTGACGTGCTTTGATCTCCCGCTGCTCACGAGGCAACCATGATGCACGTCAGGCTCTAATGCCTGATGTTCTTTTTGTGGTTGCCCCTAGTTGGGCCTTTAGCAAGGCAGCCTTCAGCTTTAGGAGTTGTGAACTAAAGCAAGCCTTCCATTCCATCTGCGACAAAGCACCCACTCCAATCATGGATGAGCTAGGCGACATAAGAATTTCATCTCTTAGGTGCCAGGCGCAGGTACTTTGAAACGACACTTCCAAGTGCCCCTATGGCAATGACACCACCAAATGATCAAAGGTCATCAAATGCCAGAAATCTGGCCTACCCTTTTCTCCGTTCTTTTTTCGCTCATTCGACTGATGGGAGGCCATGTCCAAGGCTGAGGGTATTGCGTAGCAACGAAGTGTCGCCCACTGGCGCGTTTCGCCTGCTGGCGCATGTTTGCCTTTCTGATGAAAGTTTTGCGACCGCGTGCAAACCGCAGGGCACGCGATCCAGTGCATTTCAAAGATGCCAGTGCATGCCAAACGGTATTTGATCTTGAGCAAAGCATTCTGTACTTTGTGAAAATTGAGAACGAGGGGGCATAGGCAGCATAGCCTCTCAAAAGCTTGCTATCTGGTCTTCACAGTGGATATTCTCGAATAAAGCCCAGTTGTTGGCGGTAGAGACATTGCTCAAACAAGTTTAAGTTAGTTATACTTTTATCTTCTCAGTCACTTTTGGAGCCAAGCCCACTGAAGAGTGGACAGCTCTGGGTTCCCCTGCTGCTGCCGTGGCTTCCTTCTGTAGCTTTGCAGCTTCTTTGGCTGCCTTCTCTGCGGCCTCCACTCGACCCACATCGACAGGTCCGTTCAGCGTCGACTCTGAACTGATTGGACTCTAGATAGACTCATTCCACCTTAGATAGTGTTCTGAAATGGTCTGCAACCTTGCCTTTCATATCATTTCATTGCCTTTCTTCCCTTCCCGGAAGTGTGAAATCATACTTCTCGATCGTTGATCCTGCTGGTCTTGTGCCAGTTTGGTTCGCAGTAGTTGATAGCAGCGGTTTCAAAACCGCACCGCTGGTGATGATCAAGCGACGGCACGGTGCCGTCCTCTCCCACCGATCCGGCACGAAGTTCGGGCCGAAGAGTTGAAGGGTCTCACCGGTCTCACTGGTGTCATTCGCCTCACTCAGGTGAACCAAAAGAACCCCTGGCCGCACTGATCAGTGGACGAAGTGTTGAAGCTTCCAAGTGGACGAACTGGCCCTTCTTGATCAGCCCCTTTTGATCCCCCGTCCTCCCACTGCATAAGGAGTTGTGGCTGGATAAGGCTTCTTGGATTTGCTTTGAAAAGGTTACATTATTAGCTGAGTGCGTGGCAGTTCTCCAATTCTCCAAACAGGTCCCCCAAAACTCCAAGCTTGGCACTTGATTTTGATTGGAAATCCCCACAAAAACACAGAATGAAACAAAGACACACCATCCGGACGGCCGCCCCTGCTCTTTGCCTCCTTGGCAGCTTCTTGCGCAGCTTGCGCCATGGAAGCAGCTTTCGAAAGCCATGAGCTCTTCATGGCGCGAGCGTGGCGCGAGCACAGCCACAGCTGGTCTTCCAGTCGTTTCAAACATCCAACAGTTGGGGTTACATCGACGTGTTCGCTTCAGTTCGGCGTTTCCCTCATGGTACCATGGACGTCGGACGCACCCATCTTCACCGGACGGTGGCAGTCGAGTGGTCCTCAAAGAGATCCACCATTGATCCCCTTGGGACCACTTGGCTAGTCTATCGGTGTCCCAATGTTTGTTCAAGCTCGTGGTGGTCTCTGACTTCCTTCCAGTGACCCAACATGTCTGGCTAATTGTGAGTATGGTCCTGGTGGTCCTGGTCTTTGGGTTTCTGGAGAACATCTTCCCTTTCCCCATGGGTGGGGGAGCTGGGACATGCCACACAAAGCGGGAGATTCAAAGTCCAAGATCCTTGTTGAAAGGTGCTGGACATTGCTTGAACATTGAGAAATGCTATGCTATATAATGCTTCTGGACCTCTGGAGACTGGGATTCGTGAGACACATCACAACGGAAAAATCGCTTGAGTGCTGGAAGGCAGTATCCATGTTTGCATGGGCCGCGTGTAGATCATAGATAGGTCTCTTGAGTTGGCACCTCTACTTTTCACAGAACTCCCATCCACTCCTGTCTACGGCTCGTCTATTAGACTTCGAAAGACTGTCCAAATAGACTTCGTAGACTTCGTGGTTCCTTCAATGTTGTTCAACTGAATTGTCTACGAGCTTTGAGCCCATCCACAACCACGGGTGTTGATCAAAACTGCCTTGCATGTCATGCTGCATGTCCAAAGATATTGGGCTCTTTCCATTGCAAGGAAGTCTCCACCAAACCAAAAAGCCTTTGATTCAGGGAACACCTGTAAGCTTCGTGTCATTTGCTTATGGGAACACCTGCAAACACATACAAACACTGCATATACCCTCTTCGATGGACCGAGGACCACTGGTGATGGATGATGATACCAACACGCTGGAAGGAGGCGAAACCGGCTTCGCATGGGTGCACCACGCAGGGGTGGAAGAAATAGCGAGATCACCGCAGGGGAAGTCTCTGGATTTTGGTTCAACGCATGGTCGTCTCCTGACAGCTCAAAGGTCAAAGAATTGTCACATGATGTCAAATGCACCAAAGCCTATGTCGTTGAAAGCCCACTGACTAAGCAAAAGAGATGATGGAACACACGTTCAAGTCACACGGTTTTCTCGTCGCACCATTCGAAACCAACTCTCATGGCGACAGTTTTGGAAATCATCATATAGTAGCGACGATCGCAGGTTGAAATCATCCTAGGAATCCAATGTTCTGAAGTGTAGTACTTCAAATAGACCTTAAACTTTGCTTGACAGACTTGCAAATAATTGGAAGGTATTAGGTTCCTGTGCAATACCACAGCCACCAAAACAAAACCAGACTAGGTCTTTCTCCACAAATAGCGCTAATGCAAGTCCATTGGCTACTTGTTCAGCCCGATGAATCAGTGGCGATGTAGTGAGGCTATAGGCTTTTGGGGCAAGTGTGGGAGTCCATGTTCCATGGCTCGTTCCATTACATGTTTCTTTGTGGGTCACATTCATTGTGGACCACGACGTGTACAACATACAATCAGTTCGATACTTATGGTACGGTAGCCGGTATAGCATCCTTTGTTGTGGCTGGAATACCATGCCACACCACCTATATATATTATATATTATTGTTATTATTACTATTATATATATATGTTTATCATAGTACATGTCATGTTGTGATTGCTAGGTGATGTCCCACACTGAAGATACAGCTTTGGTGTGACATTCTGCAGCGCAGAAAGATCAGAAGCTTCCGTTGGATCCCCAGGGCTACCCGCAGTCGCACTGCACCGCGCCAAGAGGACTTGGGCCGAACATGTCATAGGCAGTCCCTAGATGCCAACCGAATTTCAATATCTGACTGTCAGCTCTTGATCTAGAGTTCAACCCAAAAAGTTCAAAGGCTGTTCAAAGCACCGACGGCGAGGTCCTCCTCCTCATGGCCACAGTGAATCAATTCGTCACTCGCTCGTGACGATCTCTGGACCGAGAACTGCGTGAGCGCGCGGAACCGCCCCAAAGACGATTTGGGCCGCTTGAAAGGCGGGCGACCGAAAGGTTGGAAGTGAGAAACATCAGAAGTGACGAGGCCAGTGGACTTTGCACAATAGTAGACCTGTAAAGTTCACGCTGTGCACTTGTGTTTCGGCAGTTCGAACTGTTTTCGACCTTCACTTACCGTCGTTCCCTCTCAAGACTGGGAGGGCAGTTGCCTTGCAAAAGGCGCGGCCGCGGCGCTTCAGTGCGCCCTCTTGTTTTCGTGTTTGCGGACTTCGGGTGCCGCTGCTACCTTTTTCGCAAGACCAATAGTAGACCAATGGATTTGCAAAGGTGCCTTGACAAAGCCTTGGAAGTGAGAAACATCAGTATATAGGCCAATAGTAGACGGAAAAAATACACATCCCTTGGACCCACTGTACCAGTAGAATGCGCACTTGAAGCCTTCAGCAAAAACCAATGTCCAGCTCACTTTATCACTCACAATGGGGCCATCTACACTGGAGCGTCCTCTTCTGCCCCTGATATTGGCATTTGTGTCGGAACAATCGACTCAGCCGGTCAAAACAAAGTGATGCTCCTCACAACCTGTCCATGCTGAGCGAAGCAAATGCTCAGCTTTTCTGCATGGATGTTCTATGGCCAAGCAAGCAACAAGTCAGCGGTTTTCTTGTAGAGCACTGAGCAAAGGTCAATAGGAAGCTCCCGATACGTTGTAATGACATGCAATGGCAGCAGCCCCAATAATGAATACTCTGCACAACATGCACACTAAGAAACATGAGCCCCTTCAGACGGGGTGCCTCTTCACACGTATCCCAGAATTGACCCAACTGCCGGGCACCAACTGCTGCCACCGAAGAAGTTCACCGGCAGAAAAAATCCAGGTCTGAGTATTTGGGTGAGATTCCAAGAGCAATGGCAGTATTTGGTCCGAGTATTTGGTCTGAGTAGTTGGCAGTTCTTGGAATTGGCGCATGGTGCTTTGACAAACCTCTGCCTCACAGGGTGGAGTTGCATGTCCAAGCTGGGAAGGAAGGGCCATCTTGACGAAGGGCCGCCAGTTAGAAAAACATCTAAATTGGAGAAAATTGGAGACTTTAGACAATATTACAAATCCAATTATTAGATATAGATATCAAAATTACCAGTTAGAAAGAACTTGGAGAAATGGAGAATAACTGGTCTTCAGATTCACTGCAATGACAACGGTGGTGGGAATACCTCTCGATGAGGTGAACCTTCGTCATCTCTTCCGAGGAATTGGAACCTTTGCAGTCCTTTGAGCCTAACGCCAGGTGGAACCTCGAAATCACTCAAAGCCTGGAACGCCAATGTACAGAACCACCCAATGTAACAATGACCAGAATCGCCAGCAAGGAATTCATGACTTCACCATACTTCACCCACACCCTGGCGATGTATCCTGCAAACGTGGTGGGATTGAGGTGTTTTCTTTTTTTTTCAGACGTTGTGTTGACCTCCTTTGTTCCTATCGGATTGCATGCTAACTTGCGAGCTTGGCCATGTTCAGTAGATCGCAGGTTGCCAAGCAGGACCTCGGGGTTCCCAGGCTGAAGGTATGCGAGTTGGTCGATTGGCGAAGGTTGGTCGATTCATGAAACACATGCACCACAGAAGCACTCCAAACCCGTGGTGGGACAAGGGATGCCCATCGACATGTTTACTAAACACATTTTCCCAATACTTAATACTCAAGTGATGTTTTTTTTCCATCACTTCTCACATGACCCAGTTCACTCCAAACAGTAATTGGTGCTGGCTCCAACAGCCCTGTCCCCACACCTAGACCCGGAGCCCCGGTGCGGCTGCGCCCAGGCGTCTCTATTTCCTATGCTCGCCGCCGGGCCCATTGTTGGTGGTACGTAGACGTTCATCATGGGGGGATATACCTTACATTAGCTTACCATAGTTGGGTGGTCCCGTCCACCACCTACCAAAACATTACTGATGGCAAGGGATATGTTGATGGATTAACATGTTACAAGTTACAAATCCAGTTTCATGATGCTTTCCATCAGGACACAACTTGTAGCCAGCACATCCTTCCATCAACTCGAAGCCCTAGTTTGATCTTTATACAGTGCAAAGTAACTAGCGCAAAGAGTCCTTGCAGGCCACATTCCGCAAGACCAGCGAGCGACTGGGAGTCCCTGGCAGGGCCGTGAAGTGTTAAGGCGCCAGTTCAAAGGCATCTGGGCACTCCTCACCATCGCCTGCCGCACGTGATGCACTGCACTTGGAACCCGAAGCAGAAGCTTGGCGCATCTGTCTCGGATAGACTCAAAACATATCGGATAGAGTACTAAGGTGTCTGTCTCCACGTTGTCCTGCAATCTGGAAGATTGGTGTTGAACCTGTTGAACAAGATCTATGGAACAAGCAGCAGCTGCAAGCATTCCATGCCCATCAAATGAGGTGTCACTTTCACTATTTCAGTTTGGGACAATCACCACAGGAAGATGTGTTGATTGCAAGTATGTTGCTTGTCAAACACGAAGGTTGTATGCCGGGTACACCGTAATGAATACTGTACAACAAATAAACTTGAAGAATTGTTCTATAAAATGTCAAACTGTACACAAATTGAAGGACTGGACTACATCAAATTAATGGGGCATATGGTACATCAGTGCATTTACCATGTTGTCAACATATATGACCTCGGAATTGTCTGACATCAATCGTCTTCTCCCTTGTCTAACGCGTGGTTGCAAAACAACCATCCACTTCTCGTCTGGCGTGAGGACCCGACCTCCGCAGAGGGAAGGAAGGCTACCGCCAATGGACCTGGGTCGGAGAGAGTCCACGAAGGGATGATTTGGAGACATCTGAAGGGGAAAGAGGCACGGTCCCTGCGTATCGGTTGTGTATTGCGAGGGCAT